ACGTTATGCAAATAGTTCATAAGTCCCAATGTGGGACTAAGCTACCTTTATGCAAATGAACAGATTATGCAAATATATGGTATGCAAATAGACAGGTGCGACTGTAGACGGGTTTGATCGGTCAAGATCTATATAATTAGATTGTTAATAGCTAATAATGGAATTTTACTACATGCAAAAAAAATTTTTTTTGAGTTGTAAATTTTGTTTTATTAAATAAAGTTGTTTGATTTTTTCATTCATCATTCATGTTTGTACACAGTGGGTCTTGATTTAATGGACCTCAATTTAGTGGATTTAGGGGTTTAACGGATAAATTTTCAAAACCAAATTTTTCTATAATTATTTTATCTTGATTTAATGGATTTTCATATATTAATATATTCGATTTAGCAGATATTTTTTAAAAATCCATATATGGGGAGTCACAAGCGAAAATGAGTCAAATTTTTTTTTGTCATTTTTGAGATAATGATGCAGTTATATGTAATTTAAGGTGTTGAATCTTTTCGGCTTAGAAACATACCAATATTTGCTTAATAAGATTTTGTAATATCTTCATTTCTTTAAAAAAAGTCATTTCCGTTCGCAAGGACCCAGAAATTCGGAATGATCTTCAGAAAAATATCCAAATTTGATTATCATACAATAATAAATTTTTTTTAAAGTTCTAAATAATTTTTTAATAACAATTAATATGTGTATTAACAAGCATAATGGACATTCGTTTTATCACTTTGTGACAAAATCGATCGTCGATCTTTTTTATATTGTGAAACATGCTATTTCAATTGAGTTTAGAATAGAAATAGTCTCGTGACTGTGCACAAAAACCATTTTATGAAACACACACATTTTTTTACGTTTATATATATTTTCAACTTTTCTTTACATTCTGGCAATACCTGATCAAGTCGATCAAGTGGATTTAAGTAGGTTGTATTAGAAATGAAAGTTTAAGGTTTCCGTGATCTATTTAAACCTGTCAACTTGGCAACTTTTATTTTTTTACTTTTTTATATATTGTTTTTATTATTATTGGCGATGTAACTAATAAAAAATATTCCTTTTTTTCTATTCATGATTGCCAATTGTGAGGCGCGAAAATTGTACAAAGTTTTTAATTATTTAATTCCTCCATTTTCTCAATTTCAAATAAATTCCCCCAATCCAAAATCAAGAGTATTGTTTTTTTGTAAGCAGACATTCTTATCACAAATAAATAATAAGGAATATATAATAATATTGTTTAAAAAAAACAATATAAATGTCGAATATATATCATATAATTCGAATAAGTGATAATGGCTGGTGTAAATCTTCAGATTATTCTATGGTTTTAAAAAATTAAAAAAGTTTTTTTATTTTTGGATTCTATATTACTTAGATTCTCTTTTATTATTAGGCGACGTAACACTTTTACATAATAAAATAAGGGGGCTTGCTTTGACTCATATTTTTTTTTTGTACTTTTTCATATAGATACCCAGTCGGTATAAATCGCGCAGTCACAGATAGCATCGATCAAACAATTTTCTTATTATTATCTCAAATGCATAAATAAAGAAGATCAAGATTCCAATGTATATCATGCAATTGTATATATGAAATTTTGTAGGGGCATAAATTTTATTTTAGACCTTAATATAGATCATGTTTAAGCCTAATAAATTATTATCTTTCAATTACGTTAGATGTAATAAATTTTTTTGTGATTATTCACCTCTTTTGTATATTACCACATATTTAAACTATAGCCATTTTTTTTGGCCTAAAAAATACCCCATTTTTTAGGCATTCATGACCCTTTTTTAACACTTCATAAAACGTTTCTGTATTTCTTCTAGTCCTGGCTTTCCATGATAAGATAATTTTCACCGCCTTTACAAGTTTAGAAAATCCTTCTACGGTCCTTGGTACCTCAATGTCTTGTAAATCAACTGTTATAATAGTGTTTTCAAATAAATATTTAGATGCAGAGATTGTGAGTTGAAATCCATTGGATTGTAAGCTATACGTTTCTATATCACTAACTTTAAGTTTTGCAGTAGTAGGAAGTGCAAAATATAAAACGGTCAAGATTATTTTTGTACAATATTCCAACTTTTTAAGATCGCTGGTTCTCTTGCCATGCGTATTAAGGACTCCATCCTCTTGTGCTAATACTTCAGTACCTAATGATTTCAAAAATCCCTTTCCGTCAAGCTTTGGGCCACTATTTCCAGCAACATTTAAGATTTCTTTTAATTTATTATATGATCTCGAGGCCAATTCTCCGTAACTTAATTTCATATCCATTTTTTCCAGAAACGCATTTCTTAATAAGGAGGTCCAAATATATGCATTAAACTCATATTCGGACATAGGTTGAAGCAAGATGTCATTTTTATATAAAAAGTAGAAGTGGTGAAAGAGGTTCTGAACATATATCAGATCATTTGACACAGAAAAATAACTGATTGAATTTTTGACCAGATGTTTTCCCAAAGACTCCAAATTCATTACATGATCGAACTTATCCAGGAATTGCAACACTTCTTCCTCACAATCAACATGAAGCTTATTAATAGTTCTTCCATTTGAAAATTTTATAGCCTTGATTTCGGGGTCTTGTAGCTGATTTGCAATATATTTTTTAAAGTCATCAGGTAAATATTTTGTACAATCAGCATTGTGGATATTTATTATGCCAATAGAAAGTGGACCTTTTTTAATCTCATTTGTTGAGTGAGTAAAGTCTAGCACATTTATGCCATTATGAATTAATTTTTCACCAGCCAAGATACACATCTGATATGCATCAAGAACTTCTTTTACTAGATCACGAGTGATGTATTGATTTTTTGTTTTTTGTTTTTTATCATTCACCTCCTTTGTTAATGCTGAAGATGTTTCTAATTCAGCTGTCTTGTCTAGATTCTTCTCGGATTTATCAGAAATTTCATGAAAAACATTTATAAGAGAAATAGGTACTATCTCTGAGTCGGATGATGAACTCTCTTTCATAATAAACTGGTGAATAGCTTCTGAGTCTCTTTTGTTGAAGAAATTTTGTATTAGTTTCTTTAAGATCACTCGTATTTCATCTTTTTTTTAATAATACTTGATCACTCTCAATTATATGCTCCTTCAACACATTAGACTTTATATGACATGTTTCCTGTATCTAAATTGTTTACAGTAAACAAAAGTTAATAATAATAATTCAATGAGCTTATTAACAATGCAGATAACTTACCTCTTGTTCTTGCAGTAGAGCTTGTGCAGTATGACTTTTATTTTTCTCATTTTGTAGATAAACACTATACCAAAATTGCTGTACGGGTGCAGAATGAATATGTTTGTCAAGAACAGCTAAAAAGCTTTTTGCTTTCTTGGCTAGAACACCATTTTCTGAGGCAACAGTTTTTAAAGCTTTAAATAAAGCTTCCTCTGCATGTTTCTTTTGTGAAAATGTAAATTGAAAATATTTGAAAAATTTAACAGCAGTAAAAAAATCCTCCAATAAATTGGTTCTTAAAAATCCCACATAAACCTATTGATAAAAAATAAAACAAGGTATTAACATTGTAAACAAATTTAAATAAATTAGAAAATGTGAACCATACAACCCATACAAACCATGATTAATGCCTCAAACATATAAGGAATATATAAAAAATTAGTAAAGGTTGGTAAAATTTTAGAAACGACTATTACATCTAAACCCGAAACATTCTCCAGATAACATAAGGTTACCACATTAAACACTTTGCGTGTGTTAAAATGCTGTTATTTCACCGACAACTCCAGAGGCAGAACGTATCCCCTCAGGTTTTACAGGCCAGTGAAATACTGGATACGGCCAGAACATTATATATCTTTTGAAAGTCGCTCTAAGCCATTTCACCGACAACTCCAGAGGCAGAACGTATCCCCTCAGGTTTTACAGGCCAGTGAAATGCCGGGTTTACAAACATAAATGCAAAAATATACTTACTTTTTTACAAGAACTATAGCAATGAGGGTAAAGGAAAAAAATTGTTTATTTTTTAAATGTTTGTGCGACTATATTTAAACTTAGATTCTAAAAATGTATCAGTGTTATTTTTATTAAAATGAACAGATTTTCTAATTATTATCTAAAAACCCGAGATTCATTTGATTATACTAAAACAGATAAACAAATTTTTTTATTTTAAGAATACAATAAATCAGTTTGTAGTCTTCTGGAACAAAAATTACGCATGCAAAACTTTGTGTTCTTGTTATTAGTTAAATTTGAACAGCCACACACAATATTAAAATATAATAATAATAATAATTTATTTCATTACAATATTATTGATCCCTAAAATCTTGGTAACACTAACACTTTGTCTGGTTTTGTTGCAGCATGCCCCATATAAATAATGTTATAACATTGCTAAAAAAAATTTCCTTCTTCATGTGAAGAAGCCAATGCTCCTGCGGAGAGCAT